TATATATGTCGTACCTAGTAGCCAGAACGCACTTCTCAGCCTACTATGCAAGGCCCGATTTGCCTCATAAGCCAAGTTTTACTGAATTAATATATTTTCTCTATTTTTTTCTTTATGAAATGATAAAGCTACCCATTTCATTATGTATGAGGTCAATTTTTTTTTATTGGAGTTAAAATTAACGTAGATATATGACCGAACCTATCCAACCCTACCTAACCTAACCTAATCTATCTCTAAAGGCTAGGTTAGGTTAGGTGGCCGAAAAAGTTAGGTTAGGTTAGGTTAGGTAGGTTAGGTAGTCGAAAAAACATTAATTCATGAAAACTTGGCTTATTAGGCAAATCGGGCCTTGCATAGTAGGCTGAGAAGTGCGTTCTGGCTACTAGGTACGACATATATATATATATATATATATATATATATATATATATATATATATATATATATATATATATATATATATATATATATATATATATGTCGTACCTAGTAGCCAGAACGCACTTCTCAGCCTACTATGCAAGGCCAAATTTGCCTAATAAGCCAAGTATATATATATATATATATTTTTTTTTTTTTACCCCCCTATTTGGTTCTCTTAACAGTTGTCAGCAATGTTCAAAATTTGTAGGGCTTTATATTTTGAAAAACCTCATTTAAAGTTGGAAACTAAATGAGGCTTTACGGATATTGGAGGTTTGCTCCAGAGGTGTTGATTTGTCAGTGTGTTACAGGTGAAGGTTTGCTACTTTTCCTACATCTTGTCTTCATAATGAAGAAGATCGCGTTTTCTTCACATCTGAGTGTTTTGCCGAAAACACTCAGATTAAAATTGGCCTTTTAGCTGTATTTTATAAATGGAATTGGGCAGTTTCACCAAAATTTTGAAATTAATGCTCACATTTTCTACTCATGTGTTGGTAAGGAAACAGGAGGTAAGGAAACGGGAGGTAAGGAAACGGGAGGTAAGGAAACGGGAGGTAAGGAAACGGGAGGTAAGGACAACAGATTGGTAAGAACAACAACTACACTGTTCCCGCCTTTTTCCAGGTCCCCGAGTACTACTACGCGTTCGGACCTACGGTGGACGGGGTGGTGATCGACACAGACTTCGACACCGATCGCCAGTCATACATCAACCGCCTGGCGAGCTACGACTTGATCTTCGGCGTCACGCCCTCGGACGCGTTCTTCACCTTCAACGACGACGATGTCAAGTTTGGCTTCGAGACCGACAAAAGGAATAAGATTCTGAGAACATTTATCAGGAATACCTACAAGTATGGATGTAGTTCCTGCCTCATACTTCCTCATGTTATGGTTCCTGCCTCATACCATCTGTGCTCATTCTTGCCATCGTTGCTGAGTCTTGCCGTTATTGTTCATTCTTTGAATATTGTTATATTATTGCCATATTGCATTGTTACCATTCTTCCTCATCCAAGAATTTTAATTTTAGAGTGTTTGCCTGTTTTTTCAATCCTGTTATTCATGATTACCCTATTTATTCCTGCCCTTCACTCCTGCCCCATTCATTCCTGCTTCATGTTGTCACCCTTCCCTCACCCTTTGTGTTGTCACCCTTCCCTCACGCTTTGTGTTGTCACCCTTCCCTCACCCTTTGTGTTGTCACCCTTCCCTCACCCTTCGTGTTGTCACCCTTCCCTCACCCTTTGTGTTGTCACCCTTCCCTCACCCTTTGTGTTGTCACCCTTCCCTCACCCTTTGTGTTGTCACCCTTCCCTCACGCTTCGTGTTGTCACCCTTCCCTCACCCTTTGTGTTGTCACCCTTCCCTCACCCTTTGTGTTGTCACCCTTCCCTCACCCTTTGTGTTGTCACCCTTCCCTCACGCTTCGTGTTGTCACCCTTCCCTCACCCTTTGTGTTGTCACCCTTCCCTCACCCTTTGTGTTGTCACCCTTCCCTCACGCTTTGTGTTGTCACCCTTCCCTCACCCTTCCCTCACCCTTCCCTCACCCTTCGTGTTGTCACCCTTCCCTCACGCTTCGTGTTGTCACCCTTCCCTCACCCTTCGTGTTGTCACCCTTCCCTCACGCTTCGTGTTGTCACCCTTCCCTCACCCTTCCCTCACCCTTCCCTCACCCTTCCCTCACGCCTCGTGTTGTCACCCTTCCCTCACCCTTCGTGTTGTCTTGCTTCTCTTCACACTTGTCATCACACAGCATTATTTAAGGCATCAATTATTAAAGAGATAACAGAAATATACAATATCGTAACTTTAGCCTTTAATCAGTAATATTTTAAGGTTGTTGTTTATTATTATATTTCCTTCTATAGTATACTCCGGCAACTGTAAATAATAATGTAGAAGTGAAGGTTAGTTTCTGTTACTTCTACACCCTCCCTCCCCCTACAGCAGCCCTTCTACACCCTCCCTCCACCTACAGCAGCCCTTCTACACCCTCCCTCCCCCTACAGCAGCCCTTCTACACCCTCCCTCCCCCTACAGCAGCCCTTCTACACCCTCCCTCCACCTACAGCAGCCCTTCTACACCCACCCTCCACCTACAGCAACCTTCCTACACCCACCCTCCACCTACAGCTGCCCTTCTACACCCACCCTCCACCTACAGCAACCTTCCTACACCCACCCTCCACCTACAGCTGCCCTTCTACACCCACCCTCCCCCTACAGCAACCTTCCTACACCCACCCTCCACCTACAGCTGCCCTTCTACACCCTCCCTCCCCCTACAGCAACCTTCCTACACCCTCCCTCCACCTACAGCTGCCCTTCTACACCCACCCTCCCCCTACAGCAACCTTCCTACACCCACCCTCCCCCTACAGCAACCTTCCTACACCCACCCTCCACCTACAGCAGCCCTTCTACACCCACCCTCCACCTACAGCAACCTTCCTACACCCACCCTCCACCTACAGCTGCCCTCCTACACCCACCCTCCACCTACACCCTCCCTCCCCCTACAGCTGCCCTTCTACACCCACCCTCCACCTACAGCAGCCCTTCTACACCCACCCTCCACCTACAGCAACCTTCCTACACCCACCCTCCACCTACAGCTGCCCTCCTACACCCACCCTCCACCTACACCCTCCCTCCCCCTACAGCTGCCCTTCTACACCACCCACCCTCCACCTACAGCAGCCCTTCTACACCCACCCTCCACCTACAGCAACCTTCCTACACCCACCCTCCCCCTACAGCCACCTTCCTACACCCACCCTCCACCTACAGCTGCCCTCCTACACCCACCCTCCACCTACACCCTCCCTCTCCCTACAGCTGCCCTTCTACACCCACCCTCCACCTACAGCAGCCCTTCTACACCCACCCTCCACCTACAGCAACCTTCCTACACCCACCCTACACCTACAGCTGCCCTCCTACACCCACCCTCCACCTACAGCAGCCCTTCTACACCCACCCTCCACCTACAGCAGCCCTTCTACACCCACCCTCCACCTACAGCAACCTTCCTACACCCACCCTCCACCTACAGCAGCCCTCCTACACCCACCCTCCACCTACACCCACCCTCCACCTACAGCAACCTTCCTACACCCACCCTACACCTACAGCAGTTCTCCTACACCCACCCTCCACCTACACCCACCCTTACCTACAACTGTGAACCTCTGATATAATTACCACCCTGTCTTGCAACAGTTGCCCTCCTCTGCAATACCACCCTCCTCCTCCTCCTCTTATAAATACGACCTTCTTATAAAACCACTAACCTACATCCAGTTACCCTACGTAAACAAACACCATCCACTCTCCCTTCTAAACTAAGAGGCCGCCCTGCCAGTCGCCCGCCCTCCTCTAACACCTGGCCTTCCCGGCAGCTACCACCTGACGGAGATCATGGCGACGGTGATCAACGAGTACACAGACTGGGATCGAGCGGTGCGACACCCCATCAGCACCCGGGACGAGACGCTGGCACTGCTCTCCGACGCCCTCTACGCCGCCCCCGTCATGCACACCGGCAACCTCCACGCGCTCGCCTCGCCCAGGACCTTCCTCTACCTCTTCGACCACCAGACCAGAAGTGGAGACTTCGAACACGTGAGGGACATTGCCTTGTATTCTGGTCATCCTGTATTGTAACTTAAGGACCACATGCTGGCTCCGTGGTGATGTGTGGCTTCTTAGACCTGTTCCTCGTGCTTCGGTGAAAATTCTGCTTCTTCATTCTTAATCTTCATAATTCATATGAAGATTCATAATCTTCTTCATTCCTGGAAGTCTAACCACTTGGGCTGGACGGTAGAGCGACGGTCTCGCTTCATGCAAGGTCAGCGTTCAATCCCCGACCGTCCAAGTGGTTGGGCACCATTCCTTTCCCCCCCCCCCCCGTCCCATCCCAACTCCTTATCCAGACCCCTTCCAAGTGCTATATAGTCGTAATGGCTTGGCGCTTTATCCTGATAGTTCCCTTCCCTTTCATTCCTGGAATTTATTCCCGCAGATAATCTTGACTTGATACTTCTCATATTCATTCGGATTGAAATTTCTGTTTTGGGCTTCTACTCTTGAATCTACTTTTTAGGGTTCCTTTTTAGATTTGAACTACGGGCTCTTTCCCTATGATCCTTTACTGAAATTGTCCCCTAGGTTTTCTCGCAGAAGTTTCCGACATTGGTGCTTCAATAACACCTCTCCCTACATTCCTGGCATTGGGATGCCGTATATTCTGGGTGAGAATGTGTGTGTTCTGATGACCAGGCGTTCAGAAGTGTTGCTTATCAGACCTCTCTTGTGGACAAGTAAGAGCTGCGACAACGACTGTTCCCACCCCTGAGGGCGTGTTGGGGCCTCGAGCCGCCCACCTGCCGGGCTCACACTGCCTGGAGTGTGTCGAGTCGAGAGTGCTCTTTATGGACTTAAGATCATCACACACACGTCTCACTCGCTGCTCTGAATTGTCTTGGCAATGTATTTATACATCCTCAACAACCAAATCAAACCCCTCCATAGCGAGCTTCGTGGCGACATCTCCCTTTCGTCTCTTCATTTGAGATTTGCCTCTTAAGTTTTTTCGCTGAAAATTCTCCATGTATTCATTTGTTGAAATTTAAAAGTATGCATATTTGGTTTCTAATTTCCAATGAAGCATGTTGTGTTGATGCGCTTGGTGACCATCTTCACTACTGCTTCACGGAGATGGCTGTCGTTCTTCCCTTACTCTTATTATAATGTATTATCCAGCTACTTGTTCTGGTCGCTACAGCGGCGGCCTCACTTCTTACAGGTCGACGTTCGAGCCCCATTGGTCCAAGTGGTTGGGCATCGATCCCTCACTTCGTGCCCCTATCCCAGCTTCTATCCTGTCCTCGTATCTTGTCGTTCCTAAGCACTTTCTGCTGGTAATGTGTCTGCCCTGTTCGTCTGTCGTGTGCTGGGAAGGCTTCGTGCCACTCACTGCTCGAAGGCAAGGGTCATTTAGTATACAGTTTACAATCTGTTTAGTATGTTTTATAAAGTTAAACCTGCGGGACTCATAGCGGTTTATAGTCTGCTGGTCGAGTCGTCATCATGGTACACTAGCTATAATTTTCCAGAAATCGGTAAAGTTTAGTTATTAGTGTATTATATTTACAAAGTTTATGCAGAATTTTCAGTAATTTTTTAAAATTTGTCACTGTTCATGGGGAAGTTAGAAGACACCAGAGGAGAGTCAGTAATCATGGGTGAGGAGAGTGCATGGGTGGGCTCCTCGCTCTCATGCACTACACCACAAGGTGAAGGGAATGTTGCCTCAGTTCAATACTCCAGCACTCTCCACATCAACCAGAACACTTTTAAATTTTGCCCCGAGGGGCGAGTTTATTGGGCAGCGCCACTCATCTTGTGAGTGGACACACCGCCATAGCAGCATGTACAACACTCCCCAATAGGAAGAAAACCCGCTGGGTTGTTCATCACTTGTACCCAGACACAGCTGGGACTTGCTTAACTGTCTCAAGTGAACAGCTCCTCATCTCCCTGTTCCTTCACTACACCTACCACCGACCCCGTCACCCCCCCCCCTTCCCCACAGCACCCTCATCCTCTCCTATATCCACCACCCCTCAACGTTACTCATCTCATTCCCCTTAGTCAACTACCTTCTAACCATCACTGCCGTACAGCAGCAGGTCAACCCTGCAACTGAGAGCCTGGTGTTCAACTACAACCCACAACCTACCAACCACCATCCTCAAAAATTAATAATCATCTCATATATTACTGCCTCCTCTTCTGCTGCAACTTTTTTTTTCCTTCACTTAAACTGTACACCCACCACCACTCTAGACATCACATACCTTCTCTACAACCACCATCCCCACCAACCACTAACCCCCCCACCAACACTGCCCACCACAACACTCCACTCGTTACGACCCACCAACCTCCCTTAACAACCAGTCTTTCATACAGCTACCCTTAAATAACGCACTAATGTACTACTACTGCTGGTGACCACAACCAACACCCACCCCGGCAACACCCGGCCTCCACTTCAACTACATCGCCAAAACCCTGTCGTCTCTTACTGCCATTCTCCACCTTTTCCTCCAAGCATTACACTCTCCCACACTTACGATAACCGTCCAGGCTCTTTGGTCGGCGCGAGCCTACACATGTGAAAGACAGCTTAGAGGCAACCCAACCCGTTCTCAGACCAAGTCCATTCCATCCAGCGGTCGACCCCAAGGATGCCTTCATAAATTTTAACATGCTGTTCATTCAAAACGGGAATTTTATCAAATAAAAATTAATATTATTTTATATTAGCATATTGTACCTATTTAGGCACTGGTTAGGTGTTTAGGTTCTGTTGGCGATTATTTGTATGTGTAGTACGTGGGTGAAGCATTTATAGCGTTGTGGACATATATATTCGAACAAAATTCGTCAGTAAAGCACTTCTTCCAGAAATGTTGGAACATCATCAGTTGTGAGTCGTGTGTAAACCGTTGTTAATTCATAAACAGGTGGTTTGGTGGGTGGATGGAATGGGTCTTTGTTTAGAGGACGGGCTGCACGACTAAGAACTGATGAAGTCATAACACTTCCGGAACAAGTGCTTTGCTGACGACTTTTGTTCGAACCACAGCGCTGTAAATGCTTCACCCACGTACTACAAATACAAATAATCGCCAACAGCACCTAAACACCTAACCTAACCTAACCAGTGCCTAAATAGGTACAATATGCTAATATAAAATAATATTAATTTATATTTGAGAAAATTTATATTTTGAATTAACAGAATGTTAATATTTATTAAGGCATCCTTGGGGTCGACCGCGGGATGAAATGGATTTGGTCTGAAGACGAGATGTGTGAGTTGTGTGTAAACCGTTTTTCATTCATGAACAAGGGGGTTTGGTGGGTGCATGGAATGGACTTTGGCCTCCTTCTATGAGGACAGGCTGAGGCAATCGCTGGTGAAGTGGTAATGGTACCGTGTCCACCAGTGGTGAGCCCTGGTAATGCAGGCTCGAATCCTGGTCGAGTCAGACAGCTCTGAAGTCAGTCCGTCCTCCAAACAAAGATCCAAAAGTGATTCCATGCACCCGCCAAACCCCCCGTTTATGAATGAAAAGCGGTTTACACACGACTCACAACTGCTGCCGTTCGAACATATCCGGAACAAGTGCTTCACTGACGAATTTTATTCGAATCACAACGCTATAAATGCTTCACCCACGTACTACACATACAAATAATCGCCAACAGAACCTAAACACCTAACCTAACCTATCCTATGCCTATATATACACAATATGCTAATATATTATAATATTAATTTATACTTAAGAAAATTCCCGTTTTGAATGAACAGCATGTTAAAATTTGTGAATGCGTCTGTGGGGTTGACCGCTGAATGTAATGGACTTGAGTCGAGGACGGGTTGCTGAAGTGATTTGTGAATTGATTTGATGAAAATTATGTGTGATCTCTGGCCACGGCGAGTGCTGTCGGGTTTTAGGTTAAATAGTTTCTGACTACTAACACCTTTTAGAACAGCCTGCCGTGATGTATTGGTCATAGTACTCGATATGCTAGTGCGTTTGGAGTGCCTGGCTATTTAAGGTTCGAACCCTTCACAAAGAGGCGTTTATATATATATATATATATATATATATATATATATATATATATATATATATATATATATATATATATATATATATATATATATATATATATGTCGTACCTAGTAGCCAGAACTCACTTCTCAGCCTACAATGCAAGGCCCGATTTGCCTAATAAGCCAAGTTTTCCTGAATTAATATATTTTCTCTAATTTTTTTCTTATGAAATGATAAAGCTACCCATTTCATTATGTATGAGGTTAATTTTTTTATTGGAGTTAATATTAACGTAGTTATATGACTGAACCTAACCAACCCTACCTAACCTAACCTAACCTATCTTTATAGGTTAGGTTTGGTTAGGTAGCCGAATAAGTTAGGTTAGGTTAGGTTAGGTAGGTTAGGTAGTCGAAAAACAAATAATTCATGAAAACTTGGCTTATTAGGCAAATTTGGCCTTGCATAGTAGGCTGAGAAGTGCGTTCTGGCTACTAGGTACGACATATATATATATATATATATATATATATATATATATATATATATATATATATATATATATATATATATATATATATATATATATATATATATTATTAAATATGACCGAAAAAGTAAGATTAATAATTCTAACACGAATTTTCTCAATCTTTCGTACATTTCTTTTCACTGTTGGAGGTAATTCAAAAATCAATTCTCCAAAATTCATTTTTATTTCTAGTCTAACGCGACACTTGAGCGTGTTTCATAAAACTTATTACATTTTCAAAGACTTTACACATACACAACTGAATAGAACGTACATATCTCCGATTTGTTTATATCTACATTTGAGTGAGGTGGATGGGGTGAGGTGGTATTTAATAGGGTATTAATTTCATCAACACAAGACAGAACACGAAACAATAGGTATTGAAATGGAAGTGATTGTAGAAAGCCTATTGGTCCATATTTCTTGATGCTTCTATATTGGAGCGGAGTCTTGAGGTGGGTAGAATATAGTTGTGCATTAATTGGCTGTTGATTGCTGGTGTTGACTTCTTAATGTGCAGTGCCTCGCAAACGTCAAGCCGTCTGCTATCGCTGTATCTATCGATGATTTCTGTGTTGTTTACTAGGATTTCTCGGGCGATGGTTTGGTTGTGGGAAGAGATTATATGTTCCTTAATGGAGCCCTGTTGCTTATGCATCGTTAAACGCCTAGAAAGAGATGTTGTTGTCTTGCCTATATACTGGGTTTTTTGGAGCTTACAGTCCCCAAATGGGCATTTGAAGGCATAGACGACGTAGACGTATATATATATATATATATATATATATATATATATATATATATATATATATATATATATATATATATATATATATATATATATATATATATATATATGTCGTACCTAATAGCCAGAACGCACTTCTCAGCCTACTATGCAAGGCCCGATTTGCCTAATAAGCCAAGTTTTCCTGAATTAATATATTTTCTCTAATTTTTTTCTTATGAAATGATAAAGCTACCCATTTCATTATGTATGAGGTCAATTTTATTTTATTGGAGTTAAAATTAACGTAGATATATGACCGAACCTAACCAACCCTACCTAACCTAACCTAACCTATCTTTATAGGTTAGGTTAGGTTAGGTAGCCGAAAAAGTTAGGTTAGGTTAGGTTAGGTTAGGTAGGTTAGGTAGTCGAAAAACAATTAATTCATGAAAACTTGGCTTATTAGGCAAATCGGGCCTTGCATAGTAAGCTGAGAAGTGCGTTCTGGCTACTAGGTACGACATATATATATATATATATATATATATATATATATATATATATATATATATATATATATATATATATATATATATATATATATATATATATATATAATAATAATAATAATTATATAATATATATAAAATGTGTGCTCGTGTCATACTTGACGTCCACCACCCCAAGACATGTGTATAAATTCCAGCTGACACTGTCTGAGGTGTAACAATACGACCACCACTTTATTTACGTGTGCATCCCAGCTGATGCTCTACACCGTGTTCCTTCATACCCCCTCACCACTGCCTCAAATATGCCAGCATGGCACGTGTACCAGCATGCCCACGTGTACCAGCATACCACGTGTACCAGCATGCCCACGTGTGCCTTCCCTTCTACTTCCATCTTCCACCGCATACAATGTCCGGTGTGTGTTTGTGTATTACAGCAGCGACTCGGGTGTGTACACGGGGAGGAGCTGCCCTACGTGTGGGGCGCGCCCCTGGTCGACTCCCTGGCCTACTTCACAACCAACTACACCCAGCCGGAGGTCAAGCTGGCGGAGGCCATGTTGACCTATTGGACCAACTTCGCCAGGACCGGGTAGGCCTAGCCAGACTTTCACAATTTTAATATGCTATAAATAGGATTCAATGGAAAGCTCTCGCATCACATTTGATAAATTAATGAATTAAAAAAACACAAATTTGTCTGATTTATTTATTTATTTATATACAAGAAGGTATATTGGGTTTGTGGGAGTACATAGCATTGATATTTGACATTCTTGCAAAGCCACTAACACGCATAGCGTTTTGGACAGGTGCTTTATCTAACAAGTAATTATAAATAGGTAATTTGTAGCAAAATTTTGAAGAATATTAACAGGTTCATTGTAAGAAAATTTGAAGAATTATTAATAAGTACTTTGTAGCAAAATTTGACGATTTTTAATAGGTACATTGTAGCCAAATTTGACGATTATTAATAGGTACATTGTAGCAAAATTTTGGTCAATACAACAACCATAATATAAGTTGATAGCAATGATTACAATGGTTAAGTTACATGGCTTAGGCACATATATTAGGGGGATTGGGCAGCACAAGTTACATTGTGAGGTTGAAGCACTAGGTTGGAAATTGAGGATGAAATTAGGTACTTTTTGGTTTTACGTTTGAATAATGCATAGGTCGGAGAGCTTTTTAATTCAATAGGGAGTGAGTTCCATAGACTAGGTCCCTTTATTTGCATAGTGTTTGCACAGATTTAGTTTGACTCTGGGGATATCAGAGATATCTATTTCTGGTGTGGTGATTATGGGTTCTATTATATCTGTCAAGGAAGAGTGTCAGATCAGAATTTGCATTTAGGAGCAAGGTTTTGTACATGTAAGTGGCACAAGAGAATGTGTGGAGTGAGTTTATGTTTAGCATGTTTAGGGATTTAAACCCTAGAGATTTAGGGATATAGATTGTTTAATATACTTACCAAATACATTATTAAGCATATGAATAGTACACGTGAGACTGCTGTATCGTTTTCAATGCTGACAATGCTAGGACCTAGCTATGTGATTATCTAACTTCCAGCTACAACATTAAACTGTGAAAGTTCCAAATTGGAACACGTTATTCCTTGCATCATACTTTTATGTATCAAATGTGAGTCAGTATCTGGCAAGTTATGTCAAAAAGAAACATGAAAGGGACTATTTCTATCAATCATTTTCGAGTCTCCTATAACTTCCATCTTTATTCATTTTAGTTTTTTTATCTCAAATTTATTTATTTTTATTTCAATATTGTCTGATGTTATTTTACATTGATCTGTATGCAATGATGTGTTTGTATCACGTTTGGCCTGTTATTGGTAGATCTGCTTAGAACACAACAAAACATAAGGATGCATAAACAGCAGAAGGCCTATTGGCCTATACGAGGCAGCCATTATTTACTGTTTCTTGTTTATTTCTTATATATCCATGATGTACAGCCCATCGCACTTGGATGGGCTGTTTAGTGGCCCCCTTCAAGCCCACTTGACCTGTTACCTCTGTACCTTCTAATATTTTTCTTACCTCCACAATTATACTCTTAACATTCTTTCTAAGATCAGATATTATGTACCACGCCCTGCCCTGGTGACTCTCTATTACTCCCTTATCTATCCATATCTCAACTATGGTATTTGTGCTTGGGGCTCTACTACCCAAAATCATTTACGTCCTCTAATTACTCAACACAAAGCTGCTATTAGGACAATATCCAATTCTGGCCCCAGACATCACTCGGTACCCCTATTCAAATCCCTGAATATGTTAGACATTAAGTCACTGCACATTCTCTCATGTGTACTATACATATACAAAACGCTAAATTGTAATGCCAATCCTGATCTCAAAAGCTTCATAGAAGGTTGTAACAGAACCCATGAGCACCACACCAGAAATAAATACAGTTTTGATATTCCTAGAGTACGACTTAATCAAACCAGAAATGCTCTACAAATCAAGGGGCCCAGAATGTGGAATGACCTTCCCAACCAGGTTAAAGACAGTACCTCTCTCAACCAGTTTAAGATAAAAACTAAACACTACCTAATAAATTCCCTGTAACCTACCTCACTCCTCTATTGTCAACCCATGTCCGTTATTTTCTTTTTTTTTAATCAACACTGTTTGTCAACCTATTGTATTTGTGCTGCTTTTTCAGTCATGTTCCCCCTTTTTTTTATCTTTATTTGTATTTGTTCTCAACACTTTTTATTCTTTATGCTCAATTAGTATTAAGTTCTAGATATTAATGTTTTTCTTGCCCGAAACGCATTGCGTAATAGTGGCTTTAGGCATTGTATGTACTAGCTCTATCTATATATCAATCCATTAATGTAACATCACTTGTATGTATATACCTTACCTGAATAAACATCTAACGTGTTCCACCTGTAATGTTGCAGGCGACTATCTTGTTTATCTATTCTTTCCTTCTGTGTTTTCTCCCGGTATGGCTCTCCCACACCATTACTCTCTCTCTTGTCTATCGCCATCTTTGTCCCCACTTCTCCTGCACGCTCTCCCCCGCCACCCTCAGTTCTCCCATCTCCCCACCACCAACACTAAACGCATTCTGGTGTTGCAGGAACCCGAACGACCCGGCCACTCAGTCCATGGATAGAGTATCGGAGAAGAACAGGTTCCGGACGCTGGAGTGGCCCGCGTACGACGGCATGCACCGCAAGTACATCGATATAGGTGAGTGCCTTACGTCGCCGCCCTCCTCACCAACCTGTCCTCTTACAAAGAACGTCGCTTTTCGCTCGTATGCGTTACCTAAGACCAAAAATTATCGTATTAGAAAATGGAAGCGGCTGGCAAAAGTGATGTAGTGTCTTGTTTTCTGTTTTGGGTCCTCTGGTAGGTTAGGAGAGGACACTTTAAATTGACCGTTTTCTTGACGTTGGGAGGACGTTGAGAGACGTCTCTCTCTCTCTCTTAGCAGGACGGACTGCTCCACCAGCAGAGATCATTCAGTGGCAGTTAGTTTGACTAACCTTTTCAGTGTAGTACACATAATGTACACATCTAGTTGTGCTTGCGAGGGGTTGAGCTTTGGCTCTTTGGTCCCGCCTCTTGACTGTCAATCAACTGGTGTACAGGTTCTATACAAATTGGTATACAGTAAAGCATACACAAAGTGTATGCTTTACAGTTGTATGCTTTATACTCATCCTCAAAGCATTGGCAAGATGTTATTGAATTGAGCAGCTGCTGTTATAAGTAATGAAAAGAACATGAATAAGACACGCGACAGATTACATACAATCTTTTCCTCGGAGTGCTTCGAGCACCTTCTGAACTCGAAATGCAAATCTCTAGATGTTATGTAGACAAATGTGTACTGATGTCCAGTTGCTTGTACTTATAAGATTATACCACTTCCCTATTGTTGCCATATTCCATATATATATATATATATATATATATATATATATATATATATATATATATATATATATATATATATATATATGTATATATATATATATATATATATATATATATATATATATATATATATATATATATATATATATATATATATATATATATATTAGTTTTGTTATATTCATTTTTATATTTGTGTTTGGAATCATATTGCTTTTGAGAACAATTTAAATAATATTTAATTTTCCTACAAACCATTTTTGCATAAACTAAGGAGAAGGCGATATGCCAGCTTTTCATCCCTCCTAGCGCCTGTTAATTCATTGTTGTGTTCCTTGTTGGACCACCGTGAGCAGACCTCAAGCCCCGGGTGAAGGACCACTACCGTTCCCACCAGCTGAGCTTCTGGTTACAGCTGGTGCCGCAGCTGCACAGGGCCGGCAAGGACGCCCCTGAAGCACACCACCATCTGGAAAACCACAACGACTGGAACTCATACCGGGGCTACGTCAGGTCCGAACCAGTTACCAGGTACCGGGGCAGACTGGGGCCTGTGGCGGGGTGCGGCTCTCACTGCTGGGGGTGGAGAAGGGGCACCTCACCTCCCTCATGATATCATATTATACAGCACCCATGAACACTCTTTGTCTGTCACACACACACACACACACACACACACACACACACACACACACACACACACACACACACACACACACACACACACACACACACACACACAAAATAATCTTATGGTCATGGACGGTGTATTTATTGTATTTTGCAAACTTAAACATACATACGAGTCAAGCCAATCACTGGCACCCCATACAGTACCATTCGGACACTGTCTCATTGCTACTTGTCATCTTTACACTCTCATATAAAGTGCAGTCATACTATTACACGCTGTTTCACTACACATCATCTCGGTACACCGCAACTCACCCTACATCAGTACTGTTGACCTGCATCATGTAGCATTAAACACTGTCAAACTGTACTTGTACCATTTTCGTACACTGCTCTCACGATGAGGATCTTGTGTGTACATATAGCCTCCCTGCTAATCCTCTCACAATAAGGGATACTCTTTTTATTTTCTAACAAGGCTGTTTTTCTTTAATCTTCACACGTGTAGAATACTTACTTGTAAGTGTAATGATAAAGAGGAAATAATTGTCAAATATTGAGCTGACCTGCTAGGATAGTGGGAGTCCTTGTCTTTAATACTGGCAGTTACTGTAACCCGGCAGATGTTGCTACTAAGGAAGCCCTTCGTGTCTGGCCTGCCTCTGCAAATGCAATTCATATGACTAATAAATTTTGATGATCTCTGAATAACTGGTAAAAGCTGCAAACATTTTATCACTCTGAAATATTCATCACATTGACTAATTTGTTGAGAGGTGTGTTTTGTTTGCGAGATGCCAAGTAACCCGAATATCATCCTCAGAGTCATCCTGCCACCGGAGACGACGACGGAGGCGACTACAACGCGGCAGTACAACGTTTCAGCAGTGCTGCAGTCGACGCCGGCTAGTCCGGAGGGCAGTAATGGGACAGGCATGCATTCCCATGCCTCTCTAAGTGACGGGTTTGCTGCCTACTCCACGGCGCTCTCCGTCACTATTGCTATTGGTTGTTCACTCCTCATCCTCAATGTACTTATCTTCGCTGGAGTATATTACCAACGGGACAAGTCACGTATGGAGGCAAAGAAGGTGGCGGAAAATGGAGGATTGTTGGCACCCGCCCATAGCATCAGTGGCGACGTGCACACCCCGCCCACGCCAAGTCTCTCTGTTAAGGCAGAAATGGCTGCCCGCATGGGATCAGCAGGAGGCATGAAGGCCCCACCGCCTACGCCCATGACTCAGACCACACACTTACCGCCACCAGAGTTTGCTGATTATCCCAGCCAAACCGGCCACTACGGCACAGCCCACGGGGTGTCGCACCTGCACACACTGCCCCGAGGGAGCATGGCGAAGATTATCACTTGCGAGAACCAAAGTCAGCAAGGGGGTACTAGCCTCACCTTGTCAGTTCCGCGTGCCCCACCCCCACCTCAAGTTCCCTGTCAAGGCTCTGAGGCTCAACCATTACTGAAACAGACGTCCTTTACTCTCAGCCCTCATACGCCCACTGCCTCCTCTAAGAGCCCAACTAAAGACTCCAACATAGGCGAGTTACGTGTATAGCGTTACTAACAAGGCTTCCTAGTTCAGACCTTCCCCATCCCTCTATGACGTGTCCACACACAGTCCGTGTAGGCTCTCCACAGCCCTCGCTTTAACATAGTTCCCCCACGTATTACCATCGTTATTACACGTTTTCATTTATACAGGCTTCAGATCTATGTGATGACATGTGGTAAATAACGACTCCATAGGGTAGACCCCACTGGACTGATACACTCTTAGTGTGAGGTTCTATAGCTGCTCAAATGCCTAAATCACTCCAACATTACAGTACACCTCAGTCTTGAGTCGGGTGATGTTACACTGAAACATTTATTTTAAAGCACCAATTAATATCAATCGTCTGAGAAATTGATAAAACATGATGTTCAAGTGAATGACTTTAGCGTCATGAGTTTAGTGAGTTTTCTAATTTGAAAGTGAGTGTTGGAATACGTGCAGTTGGAAAACTGATTTAAAGAACAATGTATTTTCCCGTTTTATGGGTTGATTGATATTTATGTAAACTGGAAATCTTAAAAACAAGAACTTGATGCTTATGGACACCATCTGAGACATCTTAACGAGGAGCGGGTATTAGAAAATAATCTAATATAACAAAGGACTCTTCGAGTAGTATTTTCTGTCTAGCAAGACTCAAAGTGTTACTGCAGTACTAGGTGTTTGCCAGCCAATTACTGTGTGCATGGTACCATGAGCTGGTTGTGAGAGCCAACGCCTTGTCATAAACGCGAACTTGGTGGACTTTGCTCTTTGGAAAAGAAGCCGAACTTTGTCGATGTACAAGTATAAACAGTGAAAAAAAAACTAGTTATTGTGCTTTTTAGGTATTTGAAAAATTTATATTGTTACTTTTGTTGAAGCTTGTATGACACAGGTTCATTGTCATCTCACGACAAGCCTTGTACATACAATGCAATCATGCAACATTGCCAAATGCAGTGGTGAACTACAGTGCAATCAACTGCATTGAATGTGAATGCTACAATTTTTACTCTTTTAATGGATACTGTAACATAGATTCATAAAGTGTGTGAGGTTGTGTGTGTGTGTGGTTGCGTGTGTGTGTGTGGTTGCGTGTGTGTGTATGTGTGGTGTGAAAGTCAATTTCCTTGCTTAACAGCTGTGTGTGAATGACGGGCGCTTAACTGAAGTGGTTTTATGATTCGTTTAAGTGTTTTTTATAATGCTTTCTAAGTGTTCTCATTTAGTCTTCGTTTATATATTGCCAAACTGATGTGATGCTTTCAACCTCTTGACACCAGCCACTCCTGGCCCCCACCAGCTGGTCATATTACAACACTGTAGCTCATGTCCTGTAGGTCGAGCCTGGCCTCAAGCCGGGCTCGGGGATTAGAACTAACTTACAGAACCCTCTTTCAGGTATGTCCACAGTTCAAATCAAATCAAATCAAATGTTATTTAGGTAAGGTACATACATACAACAGATTTTACAAAGAGTGATGGATTTATAGTTAGGGCTAGTACATACAATGCCTAAAGCCACTATTACGCAAAGCGTTTCGGGCATGAAAAACTTAAATGACTAAAGCTTAATACTAATTGAGCATAAAGAGTAAAATGAAAACGTGGAATGAAAACATAGCTGAAAAAGCAGCAGAAATACAATTCTGTCGACAAACAGCGCTCTTTAAAAAAAAACAGACATTGGTTGACAATAGAGGGGTAAGGTAGGTTACAGGGAATTTATTAGGTATAGCTTCGTTTTTATCTTAAACTGGTTGAGAGAGGTACAGTCTTTAACATGGTTGGGAAGGTCATTCCACAATCTGGGTCCCTTGATTTGTAGAGCATTTCTAGTTTGATTAAGTCGTACTCTAGGAATATCAAAACTGTATTTCTGGTGTGGTGCTCATGGGTTCTGTTACAGTTCTTGTTATCCAGAACTGTGGAAAACAAGCGCTGTCTCACATGCTATTGTATTTATTATGTTTGAAATAAATACTCATAAAAAAGCACCTTATGATACTCTTCAGAGGATATCATGACGACAATTAACAAAATCCAACTACTGGGAAAAAACGAACTCTTTGGATGATTGGTTTGAGTTTTTTTATATAAGTTACGTTTACCTGACTTAATCTGTAAGGTCTTGTGTTAGTTTTATAACCTAACCTAACCTAACCTAACCTAACCTAACCTAACCTAACCTAACCTAACCTAACCTAACCTAACCTAACCTAAATTATAAACAACCTTCTGAATGTTCACTTACCTAGTTGTGTTGTGGGGGTTGAGCTCTGGTTCTTGGGTCATAGTGTGTGTGTGTGTGTAATTACCTAAGTGTAGTTACAAGAGGAAAGCTACACTCGTGGTGTCCCGTCTTCCCAGAAGTCTTTGTTGTATAACACTTTGAAACTACTGATGGTTTGGGCTTCCAGCATCTTCTCACTTAGCTTATTCCAACCGTCTACCACTCTGTTTGCAAAAGAAAACTTACTAATGTTTTTTTTGGCACCTTTGTTTTCTTAGCTTGAATCTGTGTCCTCTCGTTCGTGAAGTTGCTGGTTTCAGGAATTCGTCTTTGCCAATTTGGTCGATTCCTGTTAGTATTTTGTAAGTTGTGGTCATATCTCCTCTTTTTCTTCTATCTTCTAGTTTCAGCATGACGCCTCCAGTCTTTCCTCATAACTCTTATTTTTCAGTTCCAGAAGCCATTTCGTAGAATGTCGTTGCACCTTTTCCAGTATTTTTATGTACTTCTTGAGATTTGGGCACCATACAACTGCTGCATATTCCAATTTTGGTCTCACAAAAGCCATGAACAGTTTCTTTAGTATTTCACCATCCATATAGTTAAAAAGCAAGTCTGAAGTTGGAAAGCGACGCATACGCTCCTCTCACAATGTTCTTAGTGTGTTCCTCTGGCGACAGCTTAAAATCCAAAACCCCCCTAGGTCTTGTTCTTTATTAGAGTTCTGTAATTCCTTTACACATAATTTGCAAGTTGTGTCTGGTCTATTTGCTCCAATTCCACATTCCATAACATGGCATTTATTCACATTGAATTCTATTTACCACTTGTTGCTCCAAGCACTTATTTTATCTAGATCAATTTGAAGGGCATTACAATCGTCCGAGTCTATCTTCCCCAGTATCTTAGCATCATCCGCAAACATGTTAATATAATTCTGTGTTTCTTCTGGTAGATCGTTTATGTAGACGATGAACATTTCTGGTGCAAGAACTTAACCCTGTGATACTCCGCTAGTAACACCACTCCAGTCAGATACATTGTCTCTGATTACTGCCCACGTCTGTCTGTCAGAAAATGTGTCACCCATGTCAGAAATCTCCGTGTCACCCCTCCAACTTGGTCCAGTTTCCAGAACAGCCTCTTGTGTGGGACTCTTACCAAAAGTCTTTTTTTAGGTCCAGATAGGCAAAGTCAACCCAAGCAACTTTTTTCTGTAGTATCTCTGTGACTCTTATCATTAAAAATAAGATGATTTGCTACACAGGATCTTCCTGTCCGAAAACCATACTGTCTGTCTGTCCATTATTATGTCATTACTCTCTTAGTTAAAGCCAAATGGGCTGAACACCATGTTTTTTCTAGTGTTTTGACTACCACACTTGTTAATGACATGGGTCTATAATTTAGGGGTTCCCCTCTACTACCATTTTTATAAATTGGTACTATGCCATTTTCCATGTCTGCTAAAAATCCTGTGCACAAGGATGTCTGGAATATTAATTTGAGTCGAATACTCAGCTCAGTTGTACATTCTCGCGGCACCCAAGGTGAAATTCCATCAGGTTCAACCGCTTTATTTCTTCCTAGCCCCTTGAGTAATTGTTCCACTTCGTTTTGAGATACCTTTATGTATTCTATGGCGTGCTCTGGAATTGGTATTTGGTCCGGCTCTCTGAAATTCTCATTTTGTACAAACACATTTTGGAACTGTTCATTTAGCATTTCACACATTTTTTTTTAATCTCGGTAGTCCTGTTCCCCGTTTTCAATCTCTAGATTTTATCCTTTACATGTAGCTTCTCTTGAGATTATCTTGAGATGATTTCAGGGTTTAGCGTCCCCACGGCCCGGTCCTCGACCAGGCAGGCCTCCTATTTGTTACACACCTTCAGGAAGTAGCCCGTAGCAGCTGTCTAACTCACAGTTACTTATTTATTGCTAGGTAAACAGGAGCATCAGGGTGAAAGAAACTGTTCATTTGTTTCCGCCTCCACCGGGGATCGAACCCGGAACCTTAGGACTAAGAATCCCGAGTGCTATCCACTCGGCTGTCAGGATCCCTGACAAGTATTTTAATGAATTTATAGAAAAGGCCTAGAGTTGTTTTACATTTGTTCGCTACATCTTTCTCAGTTACTTTCTGCCTCTCTCCTCATCGCTGTGTAATTGTTTCTTGCTTGTATTGCTGGTATGTTTACGGGTTAGGCCTCTTCCGATATTGAACCCATTTTTTGTCTTATCCTCTCTGGCCCTCACAATTTCTGTTGAACCAATCCTGTTTCCTGGTCCTGCATCTCTGTTTTGGTATATATATTTGTGTGCCTTCATCGTCTATTTCGAACAATTTGGCATACATCTCCGTTTACTTCCTTGCCTAGCAACAAGTCTGTCTAATTAAACTCATTGAAAAAATTCTAAGTTTCCCATAGTGTCCTCTCCTGCCCCTGACAGCACAGGAGAGGGTTCGTAGACAGCACTTCGGATTCGTAGTCATGAGGTTCTGGGTTCGATCCCCGGTGGAAGTGGAGACAAATGGGTAGTTTCTTTCACCATGAAGGGTCTGTTCACCTAGCAGTAAATAGGTACCTGGGAGTTAGACAGCTGCTACGGGTTGCTTCCTGTGGGTGTTTAACAAACAGGAGGCCTGGTCGAGGACCGGACCGTGGAGACGCTAAGCCCCGAAATCATCAAGATAACCTCAAGAACCTCTCTTCAAATCTAGTTTATCAGCTGTTTCAATGTCTCCATTCTCTTCGAGGTTATATCGCAAAGCATATTTAATTTAAAATAGGACATGATCACTCTTTCCCAAGGGAAAGAGGCATGTGTGTGTGTGTGTGTGTGTGTGTGAGGGAGGGGGGGGGCCGCGACATTCACACAAGATATGTGACATTCAGCGGTCCAGTGTGAAAATTTGTTTATTTATAATGTCATTACAGGAAAAGAAATGTTTAATTTATATTTATTTATTTGAATATTTTTTTGAGATATATACAAGAGTTGTTACATTCTTGTACAGCCACTAGTACGCGTAGCGTTTCGGGCAAGTCCTTAATCCTATGGTCCCTGGAATACGACCCCCTGCCGCGAAGAATCGTTTTTTCATCCAAGTACACATTTTACTGTTGCGTTAAACAGAGGCTACAGTTAAGGAATTGCGCCCAGTAAATCCTCCCCGGCCAGGATACGAACCCATGACATAGCGCTCGCGGAACGCCAGGCGAGTGTCTTACCACTACACCACGGAGACTGCAGGATACAAGAGTTGTACTTGTATACAATATACAAGAGTTCTTACATTATTGTAAAGCCACTAGCACACAGCACTTCGGGCTAGTCCTTAATCCAAATATTCCCCGGAATATGACCTACCAAATTGTTTTACAACCAGGTATCCATTTTACTGCTGAGTAAACAGCTGCTACAGTTAAGGATTGACACCTAGTATATCCTCCGCGACCAGGATATGAACCCAGGCCAAAGCGCTTGAAAAATGCGAGGCGAGTGTCTTACCATTACACCATGGGCACTGCACAATGAATAAAATATCAAAATAATTTATCATAAAATCAGCTAGTTAACTAAAACACTACAGACAACATACTCAGATCTTAATAAAATGGTTTAAGAAAACACTTTTCAGGAAGATAGATATGTAAAAGTTGATGACGATAGTAGCCAGTGGACGGACCGTAGTCGCCGTCATTTTCTTCTTGATAGTAGGAGCAGTTTGTATGAAGTCCTCCCGATGACTGATGTGGAGGGCCTCATCTCCACATCATCCCCTCCCCCCAGTCTGCCGGGACAAGCAGTGAGGACGGAGAGACAGAATCCACAGGACAAAAATGAACAGGCGCAGAAGACGAAGAAGCTGGAGAGGGAGCACCCGGGAGATCTACTGCAGCACCAGGAACGCCACCAGCAGCAGTACACCCAACCGAGGCTGGCACAACCACCGGAGCACAAGCCCCACCAGGAGCAGGCGCACTGTCCGACACAGGGCGCGTCACATCAGCCAAACGCACGTCCACAAATTTAATGCATCCACCGGGTCGTCCTCCACAACCAGCGGCAGGAAATCTTCCACGCGGAAAGGAGAGAAAAAAAAAAAAAAAAAATTCATTTGAGGGACGACAGCCGCCGAGCAGACAGCAGCTAGGTGGCCCGACAAACCACAGCGAAAGCAGGTGCGAGGCTGACGTGCGTAGTAGACTGACGTAATATCCCATGAGCCGCACCGAGGACGGGATGGCCGACCGCAGCTGCATCCCCGGAGTGTGGATAATAGTTTG